TATTGAAAGAAAATTAAAAAAAAAATTGAAAAAAATGAATATGTACTATATTAAAAGAGTAATTGTGATGTTTTTTAGCAAATATTTATCCTGTTTTCTGGGTCACCTTTTTGATAGTAATAGGGAAGTTTCTATTAAGTCTTTATGGAAATAAGATAAAAATAGAAAAGAAGACTTTACAGTTTTAAGGCTTATGGGGAGAAAGTAATCAGGAAGGTCCAGGTGATATACTGTATTGGTATTTGCATGAATAACTTGAAAGTTTTACAGTATATCATCAATTAAATTCATTTCTATTTAAATATATGTATATTTATCCATCTGTCAATATATTTCAGATTTAATTCCTTATAAAAGAACTGCATCTAGCCTCACAGTTGACATACCTTGCTGGTAACTATTGATATTAGTAATTAATTAGGATCTCTTAGATTTTCTGGCTGACTCACACATTACTGCTGATATTTTTGAGCTCAAGTTTTGATTAGTATAGCAGTGTTAACCTTCCAGTTTTTCAACTTGGAGTTTTTTGAAAAAAGAATGAAAACTTCCTAATTTACTATGCATACTAGCTTTACTATTAAGTATTTCTAATTATTTTCTTCACTTTTTTCAGTTAGACTTTTCTGAACAGTAGAAGCAAAAACTTACCTGACATATAATTAGAAGTAGATGGTTCTGATTTTCAAAAGGTTTATTGAGTTCTTGTAATCTTTACTATAGTTAGATAGACTCTTTCTTATATTCAAAGATATATTAGTAGCATGTCTTATATCCACCTATATCAAACAGTTTGACTTATAATGAATTTCAAGTTCTTATGGAGTTGAGAAAATGCATTCAAACATATGAGATAGTCAATAGGAACTTGTTTATCAATTTTGTTCAACGTGTTTTGTATTAGCCAATTAGGATTAGTAAGATCTGTGCTACCTAAAATTTTAGAATCAAGCTGGGTTAAACAAAATTCACCCAAAAAGCCATAAAAAAAGTAGCTCTAAAAGGTCACAATATTAGTCAAAGAGTAGAAAAGTAAGTTCTTTGGCTGGAACATAATCTTTGTTATCTATACCATAGCTGAGAGGTGAGAGATACTTTATTATTGATTCTTTTTCCTTTAGGAACTTTTTTGTCATTGGTAGTAAAGTTAAATTCTGAACTTTATAGTTTACAAGAGTTTAGTTTGTTCAATGGAGATTGTAAATAAGAGAGAGGAGAGTTGAGAGAGTTTTGATAGAACTCTTTAGGTTGGTTTAAAGAAAGTAGTAAAACTTTATTAGTATAGAAGTATTAAAACTTCTTGCAAATATTTTTTTTGTGTGTGATCAAAGGATCAGTAAAAACAATTAATTTTAGTTAAAGAATTATATTACTTAAAAAATATAAAAAATCTATTAAACTTGATTTAACTAAATAAAACAAGGTCTAAACTAGATATTTTAAATCAAATTTAGAAAGCAATATTTTACTTTTTCAATAAATTAATTATAATTTTTATTTATTATAATTATTATTTATAGTTTATTACTTTTTTTTTTTTATAACTTGAAGTCAAGTCAGTATAGCTTATCTTTATTGTATATATAAGGATATTTACACGATGTTTTTGACTTTTATATATTAACTCACTCATTATCAAAAAATTATTTTCTTAAATAAAACTTAGAAAATAATATTTTACTTCTTTATTGACTTGAATAAATCCTCTAATCAATAAAATCATTGCTTACAGGTCATTACTATAGATGCAGTTAAAAACTAAATTATTTTTTTTTATAACAAATCCAATTCTTGATAATTTTCATATACTTCATTTTCATCTTTCTTTCAAAAGCTTCTTTTTTTAGGTTTTCTGAAAATGTAGATCCTTTCTATTTTTATATGATCTGCATGTTTGATCTATGCCCAGGTCTTTTGATTATTTTGTCCTCTTTAATAATATTCTGCTTCTTTTTACTTTTTTACTTTTTTACAGTAGCTGTTTTATATATTTTTCTTGAAATTTTTTCTCATTTTACAACAAAGCTTACTAATTATATTCTATATGATTGTTAAGAGAATTTTTAGTTGTACTTTGAAGCAATTCTTTAAGAAAGTGATTTTATTCTCTTCCATGTATTACAAATAGTATTGAAAAAACTTCTGTCAAATCACTAAATATTATTTAACTATTTACTTGTTCAGTTATTGATTATAAGATAAATCTTTTCTTTGTTTTTGATTTCTTTATCGATATAGTAGTTAATTTTTTTTTTTGCTTTTCTTCATATAACTTCTTTGATTTCTTTAGTGATCAGATATTTAAACAGATATTCTAATATTTCTTCTTCTTGAAGTTTACATATTGATAAATTATTATTGTATAAATATCTGTTTTTTTTTTCTTAAGTATCTGTAGTATTGAAAGTTCATTATGGATTAGATTAGTTAAAAAGCTTGTCTTTATTGTCTTTGAAAAAAGTATCAAAAGTATTGAAAGTGTTTTTAGGCTGGCTTCTCTTTTCCAAGAAAATTAAAAAAATTTTTTTTTAAAAAAAAGGGAATTAGTGAAAAAAGTTTTTTTGTAAACTTTTTTTTTAAAAACTTTTTTGCTATTAATATATATAAAAAATAGGTCATAAACTTTTTCTGCTGATCCTCTGACTATATACAAAAAAGATGTTTATAAGAAGTTTTATACTTTCTTGCTAATAAAGCTTTATATTTTAATTAAAATAACTTGAAGCTTGTCTTCACTTATCTCTTCTACCCTTCCTTGCTTGTTTATAAACTCTTTTGAATAAAAACTTGAGTCTCTAGTAACCTAAAAAGACTTAAGTATGTATTTCCTTTACTAAGAGCAAGAAGGTTTTAGAAAGTAAAAGGACTGATAAATAAAGTGTCACCTTATAGAGTTAGAAATGACAAGAAATAGAGGTTTTGTTAACAAGGAAGAATTATTATCCATCTTTTCTTATATTGTCTTGGTATATATCTTCTATTATCCAAAAGATTATATTCTCCAATAATTCTTTTGCCTTATAATGGTGGGAGGATCTCGAATGTGATGAAAATTCTTATCAATTGCAATATTCTTTAACAATTTATGTAAAAATACATTCTCAACTATAATCAAAGAGTTGAAGCTTAGCATAAACTAGAAACCATTTGATTTTATTACCTGACTGGAATAAAAAGAAGACCTTGGTCTTGAACTTTACCTAACTGAAATAATAGAAGAAAAAGATCTCAGTTTGAATAAATAGTAGTTTTTTCATTATCTGGGAACTTGTTACTTATATCTTATTGGTCTCATTGAACTTGATCTATAGATTAATTCAATTTGAAGAAGTGGGATGAATATGGGGCATCAATCAACTCTTTCAATCATTAATAATATTATCAGAATATATGAGATGACTAGTAATAGCTTGTTATATTAAGTTACTAATGTGTTTTATATTAACTAATCAGATGTCAGGTGACATTGTACTATTAAAAATTCAGGATCAAACTGAAATAGACAAATCCTTCAAGAAAATTATAAAAAACAGTAAATATTTTAAAAGGATATAGTAAAATTTCTTTAACTAGATATAGTCACTGGAAGGTATTATACTGAAACAATATAATCCAGTTTCTATTAGGTCATATAAAAACCTGAGATCTATTATAAGTCACCTTTTTATCAAAGGTGAATAAAAAATCATTGCCTAAAGAAAGTTAGAATCAAATATATTTTAGAAATAAAGACACCCACTAGGTAATAAGTTTTCTTAGATAGTATATAAGAAGAAAATCAAGATCAAAAATGAATAAGTTCTTCAGATGGTTAAGAAAAGAAAGGATATCCCAATCAAATATTTCTTATTGAGAAGAGATCTTAAGAAGTAGGTCTTTGAAAAAAGCTATAAAAAATTTTTTTTTTCAATTTTTATCTTTTCATTTTTTTATTATCTATTTAAACATTTTTAGATATCCCACTTCTCCTTTTTTTTAATCTATTCTTTTTAGTTTTTTGTATTTCTATGACTTGGTCAAATATATAGTGGTAATAATCTATTAGCAATAATACAGTGAATTAGAAAAGTTTTCACCCAAAGACATTGCAGAGTGAAATATAGAGACTTTTACGCTTATGATAAGTTAGTTAAATTAGAATAATAGTTTAGCTGTAGTATGTATTATGCTGCTCAAATGAAAATGTACTTATGTTTTCAATTAATAAACTGCTTAACTATAGATACTCAAAAAAAAAAAAAAAAAGTAAACAAAATAAAAAATTATTTTCAAATTAATAAATTTAAATTTAATATTATATAGGCATATTATAATATAAATATTTTACTTTAATTTAATAAAGTATACATAGCTAATCTGATAAAGGGTTAAAAAATTTTTATTATTATTTACTCTATATAAAATGAATTTGCTTTATAGTAATTAGATGAAATATCCAATCATGTGACTATACACAATAAATATGTATATAGTTTCATGTAATTAAAATAAACTCAACTCAACTCGCTTTAATATGCCAAAAATCAGACATTCACGAACCAAAAAACCACCAGAGGGCTTTGAAGACATAGAACCAACTTTATTGGAGTTTGCCCAGAAAATGAAAGATGGTAATTCTCCAAAGATTTGTCTTTCAATGATCGAATCTAATTTCCGTCCTTTTCGAATCTTATAATAGCTGAAAATGAACCCCACGAAGGAAAACGACGTGTTGAATCCCTGTGGCCTATTTTTCGTTTACACCATCAAAGAACGCGTTATATTTATGATTTATACTATAAACGTGAAGCCATATCAAAGGAGCTGTATGAGTACTGCTTAAAAAACGGGTATGCCGATGGAAATTTGATCGCAAAGTGGAAAAAGGTCTGATTAGTTTTGTTTGCAGCATAAGCTTCTATTCATTGGCTTAAATTGTTAAACTTCTGCAAGTAGCCAGGCTTTGAACGTCTATGCTGTTTAAGATGCATTCAGCCTAAAGATACGAACTTTGGAACGACATGTATTTGTCGGGTGCCGAAATCAAAATTGGAGGCAGGACGCATTGTCGAATGTGTTCTGTGCGGTTGCAGGTAATTATTAAGTAGTAATTAATAGCGCATTTTTTCTTGTCAGAAGCCTTATCGTTTTTATGTAGGGGCTGCTCGAGTACGGATTTTACATCTACTAAGAAAGACAAATCGAGGCTGAAAGTCCCTGAAGAGGTTCAGAGTTCGCCTATTCAACAGGAGTTGACACATTTAGAGCAACTTAACCAAGTGCATGCATCGACATCTTATCAAAAGAACGAGGAAGAAAGCGAGAATGATGAAGATGACCTCGAAGAAGAAAATGAATAAATCTCAAGTGTGAATATATGAAGTATATATGTTAGACAAAAATTAAGGAACGTTTTCTTCCGAAACTAAAGCGAAATAATGTCTTGTAACTATATTAAGTTAATTATATTACAAGGGTTTTAAGAATATCTTTATCTTAACTAATTCTTTGGTAAGTATTAATCGATATTCATTTTAACTATTAAAAATTAATTTTGGCTATAGAATCTTTGTTACGTTTTTTAAATAATGAACAATAATATGTATATAATCTATATTAAATCATTATAAAATTTTATAATTTTGAGTTCATTATAAAAGGTTCGTTAATTGCTAATTTAGTTGTCAAATTTAATAAGCAATTATGAATGGTATTGTGTTTTTGGATGGCTATGTTTAGGGTTTGTATATTAGTTACTTCTACTTTCTTTCAAGGCATTATCAATTTAAGGGCTCTTTGAAATTTAATAAATTTTAAATCATGTATTGTTAATCTTGTTGTGATTATTTTTATAGAAATAATAATGAAAAAAAAATTTTTTTTATTAACCGCAACTGGTATTAGATGCGAGCCTTTTATTAAGAATTAACTTAAACTCTTGGACACTTGGTCCTTTGGCATGACACCAATTGTAAGATCTACTAACTATATCAAAATTATCATTAGACTGTTATCAACCACCAGCCCCTAGCTGAGTCTGCCCCACTTTCAAAGTAATGTGCAGGCTTATCTAGGACAAGCTGTGATAGGTTATCATTAATCTGCATGTATATAGAAATATATAGCTTGTACGAGATGATTGGTCTATATATGTTAATACTAACTTATACATTAAATTGAATTCACAAGAGTTAATTAACCACTCAGATACCCTGATACTTTTTACTTAAACCTTAAAGGAGATTATAATCCTCTTTGTTACCACCTGCGGTATCACAAACAAATTCTATTTGATAAGTCCTTCAATTAAGTAAGCACGGAATTGGGATATTTCAAGTTAAAATTATTAGATCCCAAAGTTTGCCAGTATAGTTTTTGGTTAGAAATTATTAGATGATTACCATAATCCTAAAAGCAGAATTCTAGGATTTCTTTTTCTGTCCAATTCAAGAGGATATGCGGGTATAAATTGTATAACCAGACCAGAGATCTTTTTTCATACTATTTTCACAGTAGATTTATTTCAGCCCAGCAATCAACGGAAAGGTCAGAAGTCCTATCCTTGTGCAATCTGATTATTCTTTCTCATATGGTTCTTAGGTGGTATTAAACTCTGGACTTTGTGATTATAACCTGGAAGCATTATCACTATGCTATAAATTCATAGGTCTTATAATAATGAATTTTTCTTTTTCTTCTTTATTAACCTCTTTTAAGTATTGTAAAGCATTATTTTTTTCTTAAAGCAAAATATTATTTAGGCATTACTATTAATAAATTTATTATTAAAAAGCTTAAAAAAAATTTTTTTTTTAATCACTAGCTCAACTTTTACTTTATTGAATATAGTTTTTAAATATCAATATAGTACATATTAAAATATAATTTTAAACCTATAAAGCTAAATAATATGACTATACTGATTATCCTCAGACATGTTGCTATCTTTGAAGTGAGAACTAGCAAAAGATTACTAGTATGGAAAAATTTTTAAAGAGGGGAGAAAAAAAGATCAGAAAATAAATAAGTTGATGGGATGATTAATCTATATGTACAATTCCTTGCTATATAACTTATAAAGGGGAAAGAAAATTTTGTTCAAGGTATTCATTAAACTTCTCAAGTAGTACAAATATTCATTCTTATATAATAATGAAAATACTAGTATATGATTTAATTATATTTCAGATCTTCCAATAATTTTTGTATAATATCAGTTATATTTTAGATGCCTTTACCTAAGTTTTTGGAAAATACAGGAATTTCAACCATTATCTTTGATAGTTGACTTGTACTTCTTTATGGAAGCACCCAAAACATCAGTACAAATCATATATAGGAATAAGATACTAATGTTCAGTAGGAAGGGGAAAATCTTTAGAATAAACTACTGAGTCACTTTCTCAGAAAGTATAGAGAAAAGAATGATGAGTTCAATCCTATTTAGAAATGAGAAGAGGATTGGAGATAGGGACATATGTATTGATACTGGTAGGCCAAACCACAAACCATTTTTTTTTATCCTTATTATTGTAGAACAGTGTAGTAAAGGTTACTATTCATACACTTTATTCTTTATATCCTAAAAACTGAATTAAGGAATAGATGGAGGAACCAATATCTTATCTTTAAATCTTCATCTATTCAATAGAACTGAAGGGAACCTATCTGGTGATTAGAGGTAGGTAACTACATTTCTAAAAACTAGGTATAATATCTTGTAACCTTTATTATAGTTAAATAAACTCTTTCTAGAAATGGTCAATAACTTGTATAAAAATATATCCTATATTTACCCATATCAGATCCAATGCTTATGCTGAACTCAAGTTCTTATGGAACAGAGGAAATACATTTAAGACATATGAGATAATCAATAGGAGCTTATTTACATTTTTTTATTAACATGTATTTTTTTGTTCAATTACTATACAAGAAACTTTGTATTACTCAAAATTCAGGATTAAATTGTGGTAGGCAAATTTCTCTAGAAAAAATCAAGAACAAGTATTATTAAAGCTAATACCATGACAAGAGAGTAGATAGGTGTGTTCTAAAAAGTCTCTCATCATAAACACAGCTTTTTGATATTTTTTTATTAAGTGAAAGAACCAAAGCATTTTAGTTCTTCTTTATTTCAAAACTTTCTTGTTATTGATAAGAAAGATATTTCATAACTTGGATCAATAAAAGTCATGTTTTTATATAAAGAGGAATATTTACTATATAAGAGGGAGAAAAAGTGTAATAATGATTCTTAAGCTTCTTCTTAAGTTAATTTAAGAAAAGTATCAAGACTCTCTTAGCAAAAAAGTATAATAACTTCTTGCAAATATCTTTTTTGTATGTGGTCAGAGAATCAGTGAAAAGAGTTTTATGATCTGATTAAAAAACTTAAATATTTTGATAGACTTAATATATTTTAATACAGTATATAATATTTAAATTTTTTTATAAGTTTAAATATAAATATTTCTTTTTTTTTTTTTTAACTGGGTGGCTTACACCTTGTTTATTAGATATTGTTGTGAGTATGTACAAATTTATTTTATACAAATTTAACTCTCTAGCTACCTAATTAAACTCGCTAAGGATAGTCCTACCATGTGGCTTATTGCCAAGTACTGATATATACTTGACTAATTTGCCAAGGCTCTACCTGTCCCATAAAAATTTGTTTTAAAGGAATATATTGTGTTCCAGTTGATCCAGTGTTGACTAGAGTGTTTCATAATTTAATTGATTCTTGGAATGTATAACTTGTGTATAGTAGTTCTTCTTTCTAGTGTTTTTCATTTTTTTTTTTGTCTTTTTTGATTATATTTTGATTCATTTCCCATTGTAAGAAGAGCTGGCATCTCAGTTGCTATTTGTCTTGAAGAGTAGTTAGGAATTTATCTATGATATTTTTGAGGATTTCTTTTTGATTTTCTGTTGTTATATGCTCTTTTATAATTTTCAAAAGATCTTTTATAAGTGCCCCCCTTGTGATATAGTTTCTTTTCTCAGGAGTCCATTCCCTTTCCATTTTTTTAAGTTTGTTGTTTAATATTCTTTGGAAGGTTCATTGTTTTCTACTGCTGATTTCCTCATTGATTATTTGAAGGAGTTTTTTGAAAATGTTTGTGCCATTGCCTTCGCATATCATTGCATGGGTATTTGCTTCGATGTGTTGACAATTGATACTAAGGTTGTCTTTATATGTCATTGCTGCCCTTCTGTGTAACTTGTCTTTGGTTGGTAGTTCTAAGTTCCATAGTCTAAGTCTAAAAGATCTAGTATTGTGATCCAGTTTATTAGTTGTACCCATTATTATTTGAGCCATTAATTTATAAATCTTTTTTTATAAAAAGATTATCTTATATAATTTGATTTTTAACTCTAAGATTTATATAATTTTATTTATTTTGAGAAATTTAAAAAATATAAATTGTTAATATCACCATTATCCAACTCAAGAGAAATGACTATGGGATCTCCTTTTATTTTAACCATCTCCCAAAACTTCACAAAAAAACTATGGTCAGCTTACTCTCTTCAAAGGATTAATACAGATTAATCATGTCCTATTAGGTTCATAGCCCCTAATAAGAAAAAATCAATAGCCTATATCTCAACTCAAACTGGTTTTCAGGCCCAGTACAATAAAAACCTGAATTTTCTAACCACACCACCATAAATATTACTATCTATTTCAGTAAGCATCTTTACCGGTCAATAGTAAACTAGTAGCTAGATATCATCTACCATTTTTCTATTTTTTCACATAAGTTTTTAGAGTTTGTAAAAGACTACCAATGCAATAGATATTAATTAATTTACTCAGTAGTTAACCTTGTAAAGACTATTCATATAATTGTTTATGAATTAATTTTCTAATAAAATTAGCATGTATTGTTTATTTGCATTCAAAAAAAAAAATATATATATATAAATTGTTAAAATATTTTATTAAATATATTTAAATTTTTTTAAAAAAAGATAGTTAAGTGATTGTTATTTTTTTATTAATTATAAAATTATAAAAAAAAACATGTTGTTTAAGAATTATAACTCTTATAAATATAATTTGATTTATATTTAATTTCTTATTTTTTTTTTAACCAATAGTCAGACCGATATGACTTGTTCATTTTATTGTAAACATATTTAGTATTTATATATTTTATGACTTTCACATATTAACTTATCCATCTATAAAGTTTAACCTTCTCTATACACAACTTTGGGAATGATATTTCACTTCCTTTATGGCTTGAATTATCCTCTAACCACTTAGATCATTGCCTATAGCTCATTACTATAAATTATATTTAATATCTTATTAAAATACTAGTTTTAAAATTTAATTTAAAATATT